TTTCTTTTTAAAAGAAAACTTGTTTTCAACTTCTTGCCGTTTGATAAAATTTCTCCATATTTCAAATCAAGAACCTAGGACATCGATTATTTCAACATTTGAAATCGCATTCTGATATATTCCAGAAATGACAAACTGCAAATGTTGGATAGATGGAATTTTGCTATTACGGAATTTATTCAACCTTTTCAATCCTTGTCCTAGATTGACGATTTATTTAGCGATCCTCCTTTCTGAATATTTAACCACAAAACTAGTATCGTGATAAAATTTAATATATCTCCTGTTCCATTAAAAATCTTTTTCCTTCATTTCCTTGTATCCACTTAAAAAAAAAAAAAAAAAGAAAAAATTCAAAATTCGATAATTCAAATAATTTCTAGTCTCTAACACAGATAATACCTCTGACCAATAATTTTCTGACTTCTCCTTCCTTCGAATTCAATTGAAATTTCCACGTGCCCGTTACCACATTAACATCTCTGCGGTAGATCTTGTATTTATGATTAGACCTATAACGGAATGAATATGCGATGTCGCTTAGCCTGTGGCGGTGTTTATCTATTGGCGATAAGAGGATGTGGCATTTCTTGTCCATAGTTATCGCCAACGAGTTGAAAAGCTTGTCCGTTTTCGTTTTGGCTTGCAAAGAGGGGAAAGAAATCTGTCGCAAGTTGAACGTCTAAGCACGTGGATTTATGAGATTACCACGCGATGTACGTTCCAGCTTCGTCATTAATTAACCGCGGATTTATGGAATCGCGAAACTTTTCAATTATTCATAATATGCTAATTGATCTAATAAATAATCATGCAAGTACTAAGAAGAAGCGCAATATATTACACGTTTCTTATACTTATATCATACGTGTTTATCTTTTCAAATTTCACTTCGTTCATTACAGAGCTGAAATACTCGTAACAGGTGTTCCATTACACGAGAATAAGTATTCCTACTGTTACGAACAGAGACACTCGGATACTTCATAGTAGTGGAATATTATTTTTGCAAATTAAGAAAGAATCGAGCAGCACTGAAATTGTCAAAAAATTATCACTTCATTGATACAATTTTGGGATCGAAGGACCAAAATTTGAGTGACTTGATAATAAATTATCACACAAATGCATTCTAAAGTAATTGAATATTTTTTAAATATTTTCTAAATA